GTGCTTTTAAGAGTTCGCTGAAGCTGAAAATAAGTTCCAAAAGCCTGTTTTGGTGTTTGTTACTGGGACTTTTCAAGGCAAGCTGTCGGGGAGTAGGCTGCGAGGGGAAGCGGGAGCCCAGGCCCCTCCCAGAGGTGGTGACCAGACCGGCACGGATGGAGGGGCCTGCCGAGAAGTCCCGGGGCCCAGAAGGCAGCCAGGTCCAGGGCCGGGGGGCCTGCCTGCGTGACGGGCGCCTGGCGAGCTGGCTCCCACGAACCTCACTCCCAGGACAGCCTGGCAGTCGCCCCAGAGCAGTGTACTGGGTCCCACTCACTCACCGGCATCGCCGGGGCCACCAGTGAGTCCCCACGCCAGCTCACTCCCCAGACGTAAGTGGACACGCCCCTCCCCACCACCCTGCCTGCCTCCTCTGCTGTGCCAGGGGTGCGCAGACCCCAGACCCTGCTCCTGCCCACAGCCGCTGGCCTCGCTGCCCCTCGTGGGATGGCTGGCGCGGGGGTGCACCTTCAGCCTGGTGGACATCTGGTAGCCCCGAGGCCTCTCCGTCTCCCCACCTGGCCAGATGACCTTCCTGTCGTTGGGGATGACCTGGGGGTGGGAGCGTGAGATGGAGGGTGGCCACGCAGGGGTCTCAGCCCCGGGACCCTAAGGCCCCAGCCCCCACCCCCTCATGACCCCCACCTACGTGGGTGCCGTTGTAGATCCCCACTTGCACCAGCTTGCGGTTCTGCAGGTTCATGATGCTGTAGTTGGCGAACTTGCGGTCTCCGTCCTCGTTGAACTCCACGCGGCCGGTCACGCCCTCAGCGTACTTGGAGGACATCAGGACCCTGGAAAGGCCGTGCGCAAGTTGTGGGGACCCCAACTGGAATGGCACACGCCCTCCAGCGCCCTCCCAAGGGGCGTCAGGGCCGTGACCTGGTCTGGGGTCCACGCCCAGGACAGCGTGGCCAGGCGACCAAGAGGCCCAAGTGCCAGGTGGGCTGCAGTGTCCGCCAGAGTCTGAGGACACGCCGGCCGCCTGCTTCTGTCAGGGCACGGGTGGCTCTGCTCAGTGACCCGGCTGAGGCTCCCAGAGGGTCACGCGATGGCCGGGGTCCCAGGCACTGTGAGCAGCTCCACCATTAGGGAGTGGGCCCATTGGGGTCTTTGGTGCTTGGGGCCACCCCTGGACGCATTATCTGACCAGCTGGGTCCCCAGGGAGTGGGGCGGGGCAAGGGAGTTGGAGCAGTGGGGCGGCACTTCAGCATAATGCAGGTGTTGGTGTGGAAACAGGGCCAGTGGCGGTCAGTATGGTGATGGTGGGGGGTTGAGAGGCGAGGCCGCCCACCTCCACCCCAGAATAGGCCTGTCCATTCTTCCACTCTTGAAGAGATCCACCCACCCCAGGAGAGTCCCGCCGACCCTAAGAGCCCGCCCACTGGAGAGGCCCCGCCCACCCGAAGAGCCCGCCCACTGACGGGGAGGCCCCGCCCACCCGGAGAGGCCCGGCCTGCTGGAGGAGAGGCTCCACCCACCCTAAGAGCCCGCCCACTGGAGGCGAGGCCCCGCCCACCTTAAGAGCCCGCCCACCCCAGTGCGGCCCCGCCCACTGGATGAGAAGCCCCGCCCGCCCCGGAGAGGCCCCGCCCACCTCTTGAAGAGCGGCCCGGTCTTCCAGATGTTGGTGTTGCCCACGCAGCCCCGCGGGGGGTCGGTGATGTTCTCCTTCTCCAGGAGCTCGTGCACCGCCTGGGCCACCACGCCCACGGCGTCGCTGATGTGGGCTGACTCGTTCTTCCCATTGATGAGCTGCAGCCCGATGATGCCTGTGGCGAGGAGCAGCCCCTTGGAGCGGCGGAGACCCCGCCGCGGGACCCCCCCTTCCTGGGCAGGCCCGGCACCCACCGTCCGGGGCGTAGCGCAGGGCGTTCCCCGAGATCTCACGCTCCCCCACCAGCCACACGTAGCCTGAGCCGGTCATGTTCAGCATGGCGGCTGCACGGTACACGGTGGCAGCGTCGTCCTCACTGTGGGGCAGAGCGGGTGACCACCCGGACTCCAGCGGCCCGCGGTGGCCCCTGCCCGGGACTCTCAACCCTC